ACCTCGGCTGCTGTGGGCTTCCAGGGATGCTACAACTGAATTGGACCCGTTGTGCCTCTCCAAGAAATGGAAATTTCACTCTTGATTGTGTCGATGAATGAAACTGAGGAGAAGGTTAGCCCCGTTGTAGATGAGCCTGAAACACCAACTCAGCCCGCAACTTTTCCGCGTGGAAGCTGGGTGGGCTCCTCCCTCCCGGACCTTCTCTTGGGCCAGCAGCCTGCTTCTCCTCCTGTCGCTGAAGGGTTTGGAGAAGCCCCCGACCCCCCGGAACTGGCCCCTGTGTCCCAGGGAAAGGCTCTCGCCCTTCTTCCTAAGAGCAGCCTTTGTGGCTGCCACGACAGACCTTCCCACACCTCCATCAGGTGAAGCTTGTCTGACCTCTCAGAGCCTGACCCCCTTTCAGGAGAAGGCTGCGGCCACCTGCCTGCCTCCAGCAGTGACAGGGAAGCGAAGAAGCCTCTGCAGGAGCCCATCTGCAGACCCTCCCCTCCTGAGCCCCTTCGAGAGGGGGAGAGCAGTCAGGGCCGTTGGTAGAAGGAGCCCTGCAGCCAGGAGGAGCCCACCCCTCCCGCCACCGCCCCAAAAGAACCCTGCCAGCTCTCCAGTGAGAGGGCACCAATCTTGGTCTTGCTGGCCAGCCAGGGCCGGGGGGGGGGGGGGGGCGGGGGGGGGGCTGGATTTCGCTGCTGGCAGGACAAAGTTGTTCGCAGGAAGGAGCCCTCTTCACAAAAGGCTGCGTCCCTCCCTCCCTCCCTCCAGCCTTTCAGTCCCCAAATTCTTTCAAGCAGGCCAAGCCGCTGCCGCTCTGCTGCTGTTGCCTGGAAGTAACTCATTATGGTGTCTCCCCCCCCCCCCCCCCTTCAATGGCACCAGAGATGCTGGGACGGTGTTTTCTTTGGATGGTGGGCATTGCCCGCTGAAGCAGATCAGAACCTACAAGATCTGGAGTGGAATCCCCCAGTGGGAAAGGAGGGGGGAGATCCTTGCTGGAGAACCTCTTAAGTCGGGGCAAGTGGAAACATTAGGAGGAGAATCTGGCACGCCTGTCTCTTCCCTGGGGGGCTGGTCTGAGTAGCGCTGCTGGCTTTTCCCACCTCCATATTCTACTCCCCTTTTAGGCTAAAATTGGGACCAGGTCTGCTGGGGATGACCTTCTTTCTTGGGGTTCCTGCTGAGTCCCAAGGAGATGGCCCCCTCCAAGGAGCCCCCCCCCCCCCCGCCCTGAGACCCGCTGGCTTGTCTGGAAAGGACGTCCTGATCTCCTGCCCCGACCTGGGGGCAGCTTCTAATGTCTGATTTTGTTTCTGACCCCTGCAAACTCTTTGGTATCTGCCATGTTTACGGAACTGCAAACTGTGGGTGAAACCCCCAAACGGGTCCCTTTCAGGAACCTCCGAGGATGAGGAGACATGCCAGGCTAATCCCAGACAACCTTGGTGGGTTTGGCGAGTGCATAACTCCCCCTTGGAGTTCGGGGGTAAACGTGCCCATGAAGGCCCCAGGATGCCCAGGAAAGGAAGCCCGACCTGTGCCCACAGGCTTCTGCCCGGAGCCCCAGCGGGAGCAGCAGTAGCAGCAGCAGCAACAGGGTGGCAGGTGGCAGAAAAGGGGGGGCTGTGGATCCCACCCAGGGGCTTCCCAGAGGCGTGAAAAGATCCCGGGCAATGCTCCAGCCTTCCTGGCTGCTGGCCTGGAGTGGCCCCCGGGGCGCACTGAATGGACTCTCTTCAAGCGTTCCTGCAAGCAAGGAGGAAGACAGGAAATGCACCCCAGCAAGGGAGAGGGAGGGGGACGAACGACAGATATGTGCGCGCACGCACACACACACACAATCCTCCAGGCATGTTCAGCTTTTCCCACCAGAAAACAGGGCGCCCCTTGTATACCCTCCCCGCCCCCATTCAAGAGCTCACCCACCTCCCCCG